CTCTTACCTTTTCCCTCATCCTCCCTCTTTCAGCGGTGTACTTTGTACACGTCATCAGAACATGTTCCACACCAATGAGTATATTTACAAATAAATAGTAAATATACCACATTGGACAGGGCAGCATCACTCTGTACAGCTCAAGGGTACCGGTGGAGAGTTTCACATAAAAAAATAAGATAACTAGATATTTTGCTTGTGTCCAGGGCCCTTAGAGCTTGCAGGCCCATCCGGCCTTGCTTAGGTAAAATGTTTTTGCGCCTTAAAAAAGTACGTCTCCATGGAAAAAACCCTTGAGTTCAAATTTCCAAAAGTTTTTTTTTTTTTTACCTAATTTCCCTCTGGGATCAATAAGTATTTTTGAATTGAACTGAATTTACACATTATTCTAACTGTCAAAGTTGCTGAGAATTGTTTTTCAGCTGGTGCAACCTGCTTTTTGTTTTTGTTAGTTTTTATATTTAACTTATCTGTATCAGTTTTCTACATTTATTTAACTTAATTAAAATACTTTTGGGCACTCCCATTTAAAATTGCAAAACAATTCACCGAAAGCTCAGTCTACTGTTATTCACATTAGCCAAAAATCTAGGCCTTAATCAAAAAGCATGCTATTGACCACATTCCTGAATTTACTAGTGTTTCCAATACTTTCAAACCAGGTTCAGGATCTGTGAAAACTGAAATAATTGCTTAAAACATGACTAAAAAACCAAGGTTTGTGTAAAAAACAAACAAAACATCAAACTCAAATTAGTTCAATTTTATTCATTTTTAAAAAAAAATCATACATCCATACAAAGTGTTACATTTTAAAGCATGACAGCATCAGGTAAAGTGTCTCAGAAGAATTTAGTTTTCTATGTAAATGTAAGCATTAAAGAAATGGTGAACTGTTGTAGTTTCTGATGCTTTATACATAAGGCAGTATTWAAAAAGGCACAGGCTGCACTTCAGCTGGTTAACTCCCCCCAAAAAACTCAAGAGGAGACAGACGCTAGAAAACACAGAACATCTGGGTATTTTTTCTACAAAATGTTTTTTGACAAAACAAAAGAAATTACAGGAATAAAACAGATGTGGTCATGATATGAGACTAAAATACAAGTTCCTCTGCTGTCAGACAAATAAAAATAGATGTTTCAGAGACCACACCTTGTTTAAAGTGTTTTACTGTTTGACAAACACAGGGTCCCGACAGATGTTTTTTCTTTAAAGGCAGGCCAAACATAGGCTCTAAAATGCACACTCTCATGCTTTTTAATGTGATCATCTCCCTTTAAGCTGCTGGTACAAAGCATGATTATCATAATCTTAATTAAAAAGGTAAAAACTGTTTATGTTTTAAAGTGCTTTTGAGAGCACTACTAAACAAGCTCGGAGAGAAACTAAAGTCTGCACTGATGTGTGGGAAAGAAAGTCTTTCTGACGAAACTCCTGAATCTCTTAATACCAACCGGATGTCATGAGAACAATTTGATCAAAAATAGACCTGAAATAGAGACGACCTCTTTCTGCATTCACTTTCTCAATAAATTTCAAACCAGTGGGACTCTTCTTTAAAACCTGCAAGCTCTTAGAGTTACAGTCCAACACCCCTTATTGAATTATTTATATCAGAGACTCAGAGAGGCTGGCCGCTGCCGGCCCTGATCCAACAGCTCAGCTGAGGATCCTGGTGGTCTGGAAACATGATCGCAAAACATACAGATCTGAAATTTGAGAAATGACAAAAAAAAAAAAAAGCCAAGGTAAAATTTGCTTCATGATCTTCTGCTCCCCGTAGCCCTCATGAACCAGGAGAGTCTGAACAAAAGTTTGTTTTTATAGATCAGACCAAGACAAAACAGCTGTTAAAAAAAAAACAGGATATTAAAATGATCACCACTTTAGCAGTGAGGCTGGGTCTGACTGGGACTCTTTAACTCCACACGTCTTGTGAGTAGCGTCCTTTGGTCATCAGTTTCTTAACGTAATCAGTGGCCTGGGTGTGGGTCATGCCTCCAACTTCCTCTGCGATGTCGCAGAAAGCTGCCTGCACGTCTTTAGCCATGTTTCTTGCATCACTAGGAAAACAAAAACAAAAAAACAAAGCAGTTTTGATGCCTGATTGATAATAAATTATAAGATAAAGACACTTTATTAAAAGTAAAATAATTAAAGCAACTTTAAATCAACTGAGCTTCAGAGGGAAGGTCAGTCGGTGACTCCTGAACTACACACTGTAAGCCACTAGGCGGCGCCACAGCACCAAGATCAAACATTTAGTAAATGAAAACTAAAAGTTCTGTAAAAATACTTAATCTGCACAGACTGTTGAACATAAATTTACAGAAAGCAGTTATTTTTAAGTTTTTATTTTGGTTATTACCCGCAGATGTAGATGTGAGCGTTGTCTGAATGAATCAGCTTCCAGAGGTGGTCTTTGTTTTTCTTCAGGAGATGCTGTACGTACACCTGAATTCAGGAAAACCGGAACAAAAACATTATTCARCTGTGGGCCTGATCCTTATGTTTATGAGCTGTTAAGAGCTCCTAACACACTTGCACTTTAAATTTTGAAAGACAGGATTTGTGAGCAGCCAACAGATCTGTTTAACACAAATAATCACAAAAATCTGTTAAAGGTTCTTACAGCGACAGTCTCACCTTGTGCTCCTGGTCTCTGGAGAAAGCAACATTAAGTTGTGTTAAGACGCTGTCCTTCTCTGCCTCCTCCAGCTCTTCCTGGTAAAGATAATCCTCATTTTTGTATCGGCAACCGTAATACAACACCGTCTCTCCAACCTCCTTCCCTGTAAAGAAAAAGCAGAAACTGAAAGAATTACATTTTATAGAAGACCACAAAATGTACAAACAGTCCTTCATTATGTCGCTCGGTACGTCTTAATGAACTGGATTGGACTTTTTTGTAAACAAATATTGTTGCTCAGCTCTACTGGTTAACAAAAATATTCACTTTAAATTTAAAAAAAGATAAAAACAAAAAGGTTTTTAGAGAAATTTCTATGATTGGTACAGCAGTTTCTAACATGTTTTATGAGCCTATGCTGGACAGATTAGGGGAGTTTAGTCATAAAAATAAAAAAGGCAAACATGTTGGAAGTCCTTCACCTCAGCTTCCTCTCATTAAATCAGACCAACACACACACACACACACACACCTTGCTGTTTGAGCCAGCCTCTCTCCTGGATGAAGCCCATGAAGGGAGCGATTCCAGTCCCGGGGCCGACCATGACCACCGGGTTGGAGGCTTTGAACGGCAGGCGGAACTGAGACTTGCGGATGAACATGGGCACGGTTGACTTGTGGCCGTTGACGAGTTTGTTCTTCAGCCAGTTGGTGGCAACGCCTTTATTGATGCGGCCCGTCTTGGTCTTGTACTCCACCACCACAGCACAGATGTGGATGCTGTTGGGGTGGACCTGCAGAACAAGGAGAAGTCGCTCAGAGCTCACACTTCAGAGAAGAAAACGGAAACGGATCATCCAGGAAGAAATGTCTGAAGGGAACTGGTGGGTCATTACTTTAGAGGAGGAAGCGATGGAATAGTAGCGAGCCTGGAGACGAGGCAGCAGCTCACACAGGTGATCGACGGGGGGCTTCAGAGATGGCATATCCTCCAAGATGGCGAGGATGTTCCTGCAGGAGTCCAGCACCCAACTCTGGTAGAGAGACTGCAGACAGACAACTAAATAAATCCTCCTCTTATGACAGTAAACATGCAATTAGACACTTTCTAAATCTATTCCCTACTTTGCCTTCGGGGGAGGAGGACGCCATCTTCCTCATGTTCTCCTGGTCTTTCGGGTCAGAGGCGTACTGAGCCAGCTCGTACAGGACGTTRGTGCGAGGGGGGTTAGTGATGTCCAGGTAGTGTGTGAGCGCCGTGCGGTACGTGGTTGGGCAGGGGAACGGATGTTTCTTGTTGGACTCCTCTGCAAAGACAGAAGAGATTTAAAATGACCCATAAAGATCAAACTGCTTTCTCGATAACAGGAACTAATAAAGGTCAGTGTAAAATAGAGAAATGCCACATGACTGCAGTGATATTACAGGATCTATTTCACATGCATTAGCAGAGCTGAGGCTGCAAAAGGGGAGTTGTTGGGAGGGACGGGCTCGTGAGGTCAAGGTGATCTGAGCTGTCAGTGCAATACCATCGAGGTTATTGAGAGAGATAACCACATCAAGGTCCACGCCAAGGATCTCTCCCAGCTTGTTCACGAGAGCAGAGTCATTTGTGGGGAAAACAGCCACGTGGTCTCCTGACTCGTATCTGAAACCACAGAGTGTAAAGAAATCAGACTTTGACCACTGCTCATATAAAAAGGGAACATGCGTCAGTCTCACATTTGTGACATATTACGTCAAATCAAGGGTTAAGTTATTTGGTCAAACTAAACTGAGCACATTTTTAAATTTCTGTTTTTTTAAGCTACATTTTAACAACTAGATGTCAAGAGTGGTTCTAAAGATATGGCTTCATTTGTCTGAAATGATGGTCTGAATCCTATATTTGGCATTTGTTAATGAGGATTTCTTGACATCGTTTGAAAGAGGAAACCTCAAACCATATTTGGACATCAAGATTTCCCAGCTTGATTCCCATCCCCGTGAAGCAAAATATAGGGCTTTTCTGCTCAAAAATCCTCATTAACTGTTGGAACAGCTCAGAAAAATGCTTCAAAACATCCTTTGGGTTTATTTTTCAGACATTTACTTCAAGGGACCCACAATAGAAGGTACACCTTTCTAGCAGTGCACCACGGCTGCCTATCATCTTACCACACTACTTGCAATTAAATCCTTGGTTCAATGTGGTGAGTCACACACTCACCGGATCTTGGAGCCCGTTATGTCCAACTCCAGGTGCATAAGATGTCGGTCACCAGCTTTGTTGAGCCTGCGGTTGACAGTGACTGGGGCCAGGAAAGGGTTCTTTGAATCATACGGCCTGTCAGTAGTGACAACACTGAGAGTAAATAGATAATCTTTTACAAAAGAAATGCGTTAAAAAAATTAAATCACAGAATTTAATGAAAACCTTGAGGATTCTTATTCCCAATTTAAAAAGGGTTATATAAATGTGTTTTAGATGACCACTAGGGGGCACAAAGTTCCGTTTCATAGCTGGGTTAGTGGGTAAACTGGGAGCAGTATCTGATGAAGTGTCGGCACTTACGGCTTCTGGACTTCAAAACTCTTCAGCCGGCCGATCTCTCCTGTGAAGACTTTGTTCATGTTGACGTCCGTGTGAACCTTCAGCTCGTACTGTCGGATGCTGCGTGATGGAGAGAGGCTGAGGTCAAGCTTAGACAACCTCAACATAAAGTGCATTGAATCACAGTAGAAGGCTAGGTGATGGTACAAAATAAAAATAATAAAAAAAGGAGACAAGATGACATTAGGTTAAAATAAAATGATCATGAATGCACCTTGACTCATCTCCTGATGCCTCCACACCAAAGTGCTCACAGACTGCCGGCCAGAACTGCTCTCTCCAGGAAACGAAGTCCTCCTCGAGGCTGAAACACAAAAACCAAGGAGTTTGATCAAAACACGCACATAAAGACTGCTTATTTCACACACACACACCGCTTCTTTATTTTGAACTCTCAAATGAGCCCGCTCAATTACATCATTAGAAACTGCGCAAAACGAGACTAAATCTGCAAAAAATGCAACTTCGTTTCTATTCTTTTATCTGATGTGTACCAAGTCAGTCTCTGCAACTGTAAACATACATGGAGTCAATATTGCTCTCTACTCATATCCAATGTTATTTTGTGGATCAAAGGTTGCCTGCGCCAAGTTTCTGCAGCAGTACAAGGTAAATATTACAGCTACTCTCAATATTTTTATGCTGGTTTAACAAGGTCACCCTCAGTGGGACTCTTCTTTAAAACCTGCAAGCTCTTAGAGTTGCAGTCCAACACCCCTTGTTTAAAGTGTTTTACTGTTTGACAAACAACACAGGGTCCCAACAAGATATGTCTGTCTGGATGTTTAAATTCTTTTAAGCAGATTATTAGTAATAACTTAACAAGAATATCATGTTTGGATTTGATTACTTAGAATTATTTATTATCTTAGAGACTATAGCAAACTCAAATGTAAGGAATACATCTTTTTGTCACAAGTCTACAGACAAGAGGAGCTGCAGCAAACAAAGTCACAATCTCAGATTATCAGATCACTTACTTGCCATCATCATCTCCTAAACCAAGATCAAAGATGCGCTTGCCTCCCAGTTCTTCTAGCCTTTTGTCTACATATTTTCCCATTGCGTTGTAATGTTCGTATGTTTTATTTCCCAAAGCAAAGACCTGGAGACAGACAAGGACACAAGCATGATGTGTATCAGTACATGGTTTTGGTTGAGGTTTGAGCTACACAAATGTGCTAAAAATAGGGAATGAGACAAATTTCTAAAGTGTTTTTGTAATTTAATCAACAACTGCAGGCTTGAGGCAGGACCAAACATACAATACCTCCAAATCTAAACCTAATGGTCCTATTTTACATATCAGAGTCAGGGGTGAAAGCAGAATGTGGGTTTTGAAGTTCACCACTGTTAAACCTCAAAAGCAACAGCTGGCCACAGAGCTGAAACAATCAGTGTGTTAAAGAGTTCAACAATGTGATGATGTGATTTATAAGCACCAACTCAGCAGTAAAACATTTCACAATAAGACAGCGTTTGATGGTTGGATCCTTGTCCCATGAGCAGAAAATGAAACTGTAAAATCAAGCTTTGTCATTCATTGCCCAAAACAGAAGCTTTTTTTGTCAGATAAATTTATATAAGTGTGTATCATCAGTTGAGATGGTACAATTTAACTGACTAAATAATAAATTAAATCATTTAATGTTGTGTTGCAGGATATTAGATATTTAAATGAGTGAGGAGAATGATAACAGATGGACTTTACATTGATATCTACAGTCGACACTAAGTTTAATCATTTTTAAAATTGAGGATCATTTTACAGCTACACTATGTACAATAAAAAAGGAGACTCACAGTGAAGTTCAGCCCAGAGAGATCTTCATCATCATTCTCCTGCAGCCAGTCGTAGAAGTCCTGGGCGTTATCTGTTGGGTCTCCCTCACCGTAAGTGGCCATGCAAAATATGGCAAGGGAGTTCTCGATCTCTGACAAACGAGACAGTTCCCCCTTTTAAAAGGAAAGACAAATAAAACAGCTTTAACTTGGCAGAACAGGATGTTTGAAAAAAAGCAAGAACTTGACTTGATTGAAGAGACCTACACTGGTTTTACATTAATGTGCGTAAACATAATGGACAGATGGAAGAACTCGTTCATTTTACAGTAATATTATGTTATGTAAGTCATCAGTATTGTAAACTACCATGGTGTACTCCTCTGGATCAGCAGCCATTCCTTTCATGCCGTAGCGCTGAGCATCTTTGGCCAGTCTGTTGGCAAATTCCTCAGCTGTGCCCGTCTGAGAGCCGTAAAACACAATGATGTTCTTTCCCTGTTCACAGAAATCACAGCAAGCATCTTAATKAAACAGCATTCTTCCATCATAAATATCCAGCTCTGTATTCTGGTGTCTGAACTCTCCCCTCCAGATGTGACATTCTGCATTTGAGAACCAGAGCTGTTCAGTATGTGACAGGCAGATATCGGCACAGCTTCTACATGTTTAAAATAAACTCAGTCTGCGTGCCAATCAGAAAATGTTTTCTCCATTCCTAAAGTGTTGCAAACAATAGCATCCTGGTATCTTTACAATTTACTGTCAAACCACACAATCCAACAACAACTTGTGTCTTTTCTCAGTTTTGGTTTGAACATACAGACAGAAATTTACCACTTCATGTGGTCACACCAGTAGGGTTGGGCATAATCGTATCATGTGAAATTAATCGTCAGAAAAACATTAATCGATTATTTTTTGGCACTTGATGATTAATACGATTAATGCCACCAGGCAGACTGACTGGATATTTCCCCACTCAGTCCGCTTTATTTATCTATTAGCACAATTTAAAATTTRATAAACAACCTGAAGTCTGTAATTTTGGCACAATTTAGAACAGATTTTTACGAAGAGCAAATCTTTCCCACTAACTTGGTCATGCAATCAGGACATAAGGATGTCCAGGGACTCCAGGGGATTAATCGTCAAATTAATCGTTATCGGTTAAATACCACATTTAATCGTGATTAATTTTTTTGCCTATATTGCCCAACCCTACACACCAGCAGGGAAACTAGAATTTGATCCGAGCTGGCAAAACGAGTTAGTGAGCACAGGCTACAGTGCAACGTAAGTGAATATATTGACTTTTGCCATAATTAAGGGTCCATACAGACATCATCCAGCAGTCCTAGTAACTAAATTAGCATAAATAAGCCTTCTAATCTACTCCAATATTTATCTTTTCTAATAGATAATTCTTATAATTCTCTTTGATCATGTTCTAGGGTTGAGAAATCCCTTCAAAAATACTTATTGTGATGTTTAGGCAACCCTCCTTTTTAAATACAAATAAAATAAATCAATAAAAAATATATTTTCAAATTGGCAATGATAAAACACCAAATTTCCACAAACTACATTTTTTTAAGCTTTTGAAAATAACTTTTTTCAGCTTGGAGTACAACAAAAGCATTTATCTACAAACATAGTTCCCCTCCTCATGAACTTTGAAAAAAAAAAAAAAAAAACAGATAATCATTAGGTTAGTAAGTACCTGGAAAAGGCCACAGTTTAATACAGGGAGCTTTCATTCTTTAGAAATCACCCCTTAACCCTGCAGTGATGGCTCATTAGGTAAAGGACAACTCTGAATGTAGTTAAAATGCCTCAGCATGATAAAAGTCAGTTTAAAGAACAGAAACAAAGCGGAAGTAAGCAAGTAAACAACATCACTCACCGTTTTCTTCATTTTCTCAACGAAACTCGTCTCTCGTGTGGTGGGGGCTCTGAACAAAAAACAAAAAAAGATGCTTTTTGTTAGGATATTAGCATATTTGGATAAATGCTTGTATTTTTTATTCTGAAACTATAAATGCAGACTATTTTGTGGCATCTTTACAAGCAGCAGAACTTATCAATGCTATAAAAGCTTAATAAAACAAAAAGAAAAGATAAAAAAGGACATGTTGCTGGTTCATTTAGAGACCGATTTGTCGGAGTTGTGATTTTTAAGTGCAGGAGTTCAACCTGTTTGTTGGCCCTGATGATAAAATCCCTGTAATCAGGCAGCACCTTGCTTTTTTAACTCCTTCAGTGAAAAATAGTCTCAGAAATCTGGGTGTTGTCTTTGATAGTTCTGTCTTTTGACAACCATTGTAAAAAACTTTAGTTTATATCTGTTTTTATCATTTAAGGAACATTTTAAAGCCGAGATCTTTTGTGTCACAGAAGGAACTAGAGATGGTTGTTCACGCTTTTATTTCTTCTCGTTTAGATTACTGCAACAGTCTTTTTACATTTAAACAAATCCTCTTTGGTTCGCCTTCAGTCTGTGCAGAACGCTGCAGCGAGGTTATTACAAAGACCCACAGGAGAGCCCACATTACACCTGTCTGCACTGGCTCCCTGTGCATTTGAAAAGTCATTTTAAAATTTTGGTTTTAACTTTGAGCACTTCATGGTCAGGCCCCCAAATACATACTGGACCTTCTGAAGCCTCTCTGTCCATCCAGGACTTTGAGGTCTTCTAATCAAATGCTGCTGGTGGTCCCTGGAACCCATTATAAAACCATTGGAGACAAAGCTTTTCAGGTGGTGGTCCCGAGGCTCTGAAACGCTCTCCCTCTGTCCCTTCACTGCTCATATTCTACTGACTCTTTTAAGAAACATCTCAAGACTTTTTTATTCAGACAGGCTTTTAATTAATGTGCTTTTTATTGTGTTTTAATTGCTTTTTTATATATTTGTTATCTGTTTTATTGTTTTTAGTTGTTTTTAGATATTTTGCTCTCGGTTAAGCACTTTGTGAGGTTTGTGTCTGTGAACGGTGCTATAAAAATAAAGTTTACTTACTTAATTTTATATCAATGTGTTGACATTTTTACCTTTTACCAGCTAAACCTGCCTCAGGTGGGGGGACAACAGGGCATGAAAGTTCAGAGCAAAGCCATAAAAAAAATCCGTGAAAAAAGATTGTCTGTGAAGGAGAAAAATATCTCTTTAGGAAGAACAGGTGGGAGAAGAATCACTGGTGAGACAGCTGCAGTAATGTAATGGTTAACTACGTAATAATAACCTCATTGTTAATGAGGAGGAAGTGATTAAATCTGTGTGGTTTGTAGCTCAGGTCTACAAAAATCAGTTCAGACAAATTTCTTGAACATAAATACAGTAAACAGGTCAAAATAGGATAAAAAAGGAGCACAGGAAGTCCTTCATTGAAACAAATAAAAGGCTTCAGTGACATCAAAGAGCATCTGCCTCCAATGATAAAAGAATAGACAGTAACTCCATGCATAAATGAATCCGTATTCTGATTTTCACTGTGAAAAATAAGCAGCACGCTGCTGAATCATGACTAAACATCAGTAATAACATTTGGTTACACTCTAAAGTTGTGCCATAGCTGCTTATACTTCTTGGTAAACCTAAGTAAAATAACTAAATACAGATCAATTTTGAGCAGAGAGGCAGGATATTCCACTGCAGACAGATTCAGCTGGGTCTGACTGAGCTCTTATCTGCTGTGTCCTGCAGTTACATAACAGGGAGGGTTTTCCTGCTAACTTTAATAACCTGCCCCAGTCAGGTCATCAGAGGTATCAATAATATATTTTTTTACTTGCTTATATTTTACTCTTACATGGTAAGATCRTTAAATTTGACTCATGTTTGCAGTAAATTAATAATTTGACTGAAGCCTGACACATTTCAACAAGTTTTCTTAAAAAAATAAATAAATAAATAAATAAAATCATAATTCAGATTTTTCCAAAGCCTAAGCCAAAGTTAATTTAAAAAAAGATCACTTGAGATGAAAATGGCTACAAAATTAAAATTTCACTTCAGATCAAGAAAGTAGCATTTCAAAATCAAGATGACATGTTGGATTGCAACTTTAGCATTCATAAAAATAAGCGTATCAAATACTAAGGTTTGCTTTAATCAAAGGTTTTGTGACTTCATATGGGGTGGTGTTGTTGCTGTAGTATAAAAACAAACAAACCAATTATTATTATGAAATTTTGCTTTAATTGCTTGTTCATGTGTTAGGAAATGGTCATTAGATGTTCCTTTACAACAAATTAACATTTTAAATAAACAACAGCCAACTGACCTTAGGAAACAAGTCTTTAATTCAGTGAATTTTACAGATACTGAACTAATACTTGAGTCTTGCATGAGAATTGCAGGGTGCTATGCATTTCTTCAATGAACATTAGGGTTTTATTTATGCCTGCAGTGTTTGTACTTTGTGTCAAAATGTATTCATGCAGGATATACAATCCTTTCCATAGAGGTGGTATTCTCACATGAACTGCAGCCCTGAGATTTTCTAATTGTTTTCTAAAGAGGCCGTTTGGTCAAATTTAATGTCTAAATGAACAAAAATATGATTTATTAAATCAACTATGTGTTGATTCTGGTAGTTTTTCTCTGGTTGAATCAAGGGCAGTGAGACAGTTATATACTTTTCTCCCCTGTAGAATTTCTGTTTACATCTTTGAGATAGATAATGCTTCACAGCGTATCAAAGATTCATCCACATCAGTAACAAAGGACAGCTTGTACTGGAATAAATCATAGGCCGTTACAATAAGAGTTATGTGTTCTGCATGTYAATGTGTTTGTTCAATCCAACAGACTTGCTGGCCTTGATGTCCACACCTGGTTTAGATGATCGTGATGACAAAAGAAAGTGAGGAAAATATGGTTTTATTACTGTTGATATCCTCAATGCATTATTAAATCATCATTGTATACCTCAAGTGTTTCTAGTATTTTAAGCCATAATTCTAAATTTATACAAACATGCAATTATGATAAAGATGGATGGATGTTCATGTCTTTTTGATTTGTCGCAAGCAAACGACAAATCYTTACGTGTATATTTTGCATCATATCCTGCCACCTGCATGTTTTTATGTAATTTAGGAAATCTCTTGATGTCTACATCACATATGAGCCAGGAAACTTTGAGCTCTGAAAAGGTTTCCAGTATTTGAATTTGAAAACTATCCATTTTATTGTCAAACATGCAGGTGATGTTACACTAAAACAGTAAAATGATAAAACTTTACCAAGAATACTTAATTAAAACTGAATGCTGCTGGAAGTGCACACATGACTAGAATGGTAAATGAATAAGTCTGAAAAAGACAGGACAAATCAGAAGATTTAATTATAACAAAATTAGATTTTTGATTGCAGACAAACAGATTTTATCGTTTCCTGTTATGTAACTTCTCCAGAACATTAAATGTGTTTTACACTGATTCTTAAATCTAGACAAACTAAATGTGTTTGTGTGCAGCAGTTTTGTTAGAAACATTTTAACGTCAACAGGGTGCCGAGCCAAAATCTTCAACTTCTGAGGTGTAAAAACTCCACTGCAGAGTTGAACTATACTTAGACTATTTAAGGCGAGTCGTTTGTTTTGTAGCCATTAATCAAACACTGTACTGACCTCTCAGCAGCATCTCTCCTGTCCTCTGGCAGAGAGAAGACGCAGCCCATGACATGCAGCTCTTTAGCTCAACACTTCAACTAGCACTGCTGTCAAGGCCAAGCCGGGAGCCGCCACGCTCAAAATCCAACGAGACGCAGAAGCAGAACCATTCCAGGCAGGGCAGAGGGACACCTAAAGCACAGCCTTCACCTCCGACACRACGTGAACTCTGCCTCTTCCTGTTGCTGCTCTGAAACCAGCGGTGCCTGATCTCCGCACGCATTCACTCGGATGGAGCGTGAAAGCAGCCTGCGAGCTCCGTCAGGCTCTGGCAGCGGCGAGGAACACAATGGTGGGAAACTGACTTTCCCATAAAATGCAGCCAAGCTGCAGACCCACAGTTTGTGACTCACGCAAACACACGCTGAAATGATCATGAGCTGGGAATGCCTTCCTCTTCATGCCCACCCCTTTTCTTTTCCACTCTGAAAGGTGTTAGAAAGAAGAAGAAGGAGGAAAAAAAGAGTACACAAGATCCATTCAACAAAAAGACTAAATGATAGAGCAACCACTGAGGGAGGAGTGCAAGACAGGAACAGGATTTTTTTGTTTTTGCAACGTCTCCCCTGCCCCCACTTCACTGGAGGAGAGAGGGAATGTTATTGCTATGGCAACCTCATTTATCATAAAAGGATCCCATTTGTGACATGGCCCCAATGGCAGAGTGGTTCAGCCCAGACGACAAAAAAAACAAACAAAAAGAAAACAGGGGAGTGGAGGGACAGAAGAATAAAAAAGTAAAGAATGAGCTGCTTGTCTTTTGCCTCTACTTTCCACCTTTGTGTTCGCCAAAAGACCTTGGCCYGCTCCCCAGAGAACTTTCAAAATGGGTTCAGAGACAAAAAAAAGCACTGGAAAGACATGAAAGACTACATCCCCTTCATAACAGTTAGGTAATCACTGCCTCTTTAAGGGGAGGGGAGACCACTTCAGCACTCCCTTCCTGTATTCCTTCCCTCCACCAACTTAGACCAGTGTTTTAGTTAGAAAAGCTTCCAAACAAAGAAATGACTAAAGTGCTTTAAAAATCACTGACTGGACACATTAAACCCAAGAAACACCATACCATCTTTTATAAAATATAAGGAAATTTTTTGTCAGAAATCAAAAGAACTCATATTTTGAAATAAACGGGTCTCTTAGTTGTTCAAGTATTTCCTCTCTAAGCTAATTTTGTTAATTTATAATAATAATATAGGCCATTTATACTTTGCTAATTCCAATCTATTTTTTGCTTTTATTTAGCGTTGTCGTGATTGCTAGGTGACAGGACAGGGCTCTAGAGTGTGACTAATTTGGTCACAAATGCGACCTGATTTCCAGTGCGACTAAAAAAAATGTCCGGTCGCACCGGTGCGACCAGTCGTTCGAAGTGGAGGGGGAGCGGTCGCCCGCTGAAAAAAAAGTTTCCATGTTCCATAAAAAATAATCCAGCAGCATCAATGGTGGCCCGCCGACAGTCTCATCTCTCCCAATAACACAGCGCTCTGTTCGCGGCTCCGCTCCACACCTCCAGCGCACACACGTTTGTTGTTCTATCCTCGTGGGGACTTTTATTAATCATTATTATCTGTTCATCATTCTGGTTTATCCAAGGCCAAAGATCCAGAGGGCCAAACTACAGGAGTTGTCCATCTGAGGGGCAGGTGTCTAAAAAAATTTAACCATGAAATGTTTAATATGTTTAAGACATTCAGCCCTTAAACATTTGCACTTACAATTTTATAAAATCACTTTAAATACTTTTTAGTAAGTTAAATATCTACAATTCTGTTTCAAATAAAGAACTTCATGTTTACTAGATTGTTAACTAATTATTTTCAAGTTAATGTTGCCTTAAAGAACAGTGATTAAAAAATAACCTGTGAAACTCTGACGTTAAATGCGACGTGGTTGAATATTTGGGTGCACCTAACTTTTGTGCTGGTGCACCTAAGAAAAAATGTTAGGCACATCAGTGCAACCAGTGCAAAAAGTTAGTCTAGAGCCCTGCAGGACATACACCTGAGTAAGGGCGGGAATAAAGCTAAAGACTAGACGGTCCAAATTCACAGCCACKTTTTTACAGTCTTCGTGGTCGACAAAGGACCCAGCCCACCTAGACAGGGAAAATGGACTGTACTTGTATAGCGCCTTTCTACCCAACCAGGATACTCAAAGCTCTTCACACTACAATCTGTGTCCTCATTTACCCATTCACACAGCACTCTACTAGATCTCCTACAAAGCTAACATGAACAATCATCTATGGAGACTAATCAGTGCCAATCACATTCATACTCTGAATGGGACACACATCAGAGGCTTTAGGGGTGAAGTGTCTTGTCCAAGGACACAACAACTGAGACAGTTGGACGGGGGATCGAACCGGTGACCTTCCGGTTCCAGGACGACTCCCCTAACCACTCTGCCACAGCCGCCCCAGGGTAGGTCAGGTCCTCCGAAGGACACAGCCTCTGAATTTGGGCACAGCCATTAGGCTAAAATTTGATTTGTAAGTAGCTGAAAGTCATTCACAACACATACTTTGAGCGTGAAATCATGCACGATGTTATTTTCAAGGTTGCCCAAAAGAGCTATAGCTTACTTCATTTCTATGGTTGAAGTGTTGTCTTCTGTTTTGTTTTAAGTCATTAAAAAAATTAAGACAAGATAGCAGTTTTTAGTTATGTATGTACAAATATATGAAAATATTCTGTCACCAAACTTTTCTAATAAGCCAAACACTCCACACTTTTKTCCCTATCTGAGTAACTTTGTTACATAAATGGTCCAGATCTTCTTTCAGCCTGTGTCCACACCAAAAGTACAGCTGGTCTGGATTTTTTTTCTTTCCTAGGAATCAAAGGAAGTTATGTGGAAGTAGGGGAGGGACTAAAACTGTGGCCCATGTGAGAACAGTTCACTGTAATGGAGCCAAGCCTCTACTCTTCCACTAAATACTGAGGGGAGGGAACAGGGGAAGGCCAGCAGGATTATATGGAAGATGAAAACGTCAGAGTAAAAAAAGGATTAGCTGAGTTTTTGAAAAAGAAAGAAGAGAAGAGAGAGTAAAAGAAGAGGCAGAGAGAAAACAAAGGTCGCTGCTGGTGAAACATTTACCCGAGTAATAAGCTGTGCACTCTCACACACATGCTGTAAGTGCTTTAAAGTGACAACCTGTACTGATCCTGTCATGACACGCGATTTTGTTTGGACTGCAGTGAAACACTGGTTGACCTTAGACATACTGTCATCAACTAGTCTGCATCACATCTGTTAAAGCAGCTATAATTAATATTAGGCAATACCTCAGCATTATTAACCAGAGTTATCCGAAACTCCAATACTTGGCTGTTAAAAATTAAAAATAATCCTCATCCTGAGGAGGAAAATTGAAGGGGAAAAATCATCAACAAATATCGTCTTAATGCTGTTAGCAAATACCCAAAGCTGTCCTTAATAAATGATGGAGACTGAAATAAAAGGCAGACATGTGATCTTATATTTCTGGGTCACTTTGATCAGTGTGTTGAAGTGTGGTGGCATCTTTCAGTGGTATGATGTCTTTATTGTGTGCCTGTCATGAAGGACTTTTGTCATTCAATTTGGACAATTTTCTACTAGTGTGAAACGACTGTCACATGGGAAAGATGCTGAACAAGTACCGTGGTCAATTTGTTGCTTAAATCGTCACATCTCACACTTAACATTAGGAAGACTATCACCTTGTATTTCACAAGTTTAACCAAATAAGTGTTTAAGAAGATCACAAGTTGAACGAAGATTTTTAACTGTTGCAACAATACATGTCACGATGTATGTGTGATTTGATCCAGTCACGAGGGGCTGTGGGCCTATAAGGAAGGATACCTTAAAAAATAAAAATATTGTTTTAAAGTCACTGTATAATATTTGTGTTCTAACTTAGTAAGTACTTTGTATTGGTACAGCCGAGTAGCCAAATTGAAGTGCTCATATTTGAGACAAACAACCATTCACTCTCACACTCACACCTAAGGACAATTTAGAGTTACAAATTAGCCTAAAATTCATGTTTTTGTCTGTAGGAGGAAGCTCTGCATGCACAGACAGAACATGTAAACTCTACCCAGACAGATCCTTGGCTGGAATTCAATCCGGCAACCTCCTGTGAGGCACCAGCTCCATGAACGGACCTGCCATGCTGCCCAAGTCAGTGAACTTTATAATCAAAACTTAATCAGAATAATCTCTCTAGTATACTCATCTAATATAAAATGTTGAGTTTTGATAACATTTGGATGCACTTGCTTTTAAAAATAATTCCTATTTGTATAAGTTGCTCAGAACAACAGGATTTCTACATGTAATTGATCGTGATGCACCGTCACGGCAAAATAAAAGCAGCCACACCTTCAGAATGAGGGATTGTTTTATAATATATTAAAACAATGTAAAGCAAATCGTATTTATTTATATCCTATATTTGTGCACTTATACTAACCTAAGGAATGTTAAGTTGAACACATTTTAGTTCAAGCCTGTGAACGACGGTACGTAGTTAATTAATAATTTGCAGGTTATAACAAATAGGACTGCTTGAGGCAGGTAAAAACTATATGTGAATGTGTCCCGCTATTTCTTTTGTTTTGGCCATTTAAATAGAAAAATTCTGGAAATTAAATGAAATATAGCATTTTAAAGCATGTAGACAGTGGATAAATCCTCAATTACTCCCTCCCTCTCTAATATAGCTTCGTCGCGCATAACTAAAATATTGTGTCGCGGGGATTATTTCTCCCTCCAGCTGCACGTCACGCAGACCGAACCATTACCGACTGCAGGTTTGTTTTTTTTCACACAAGTTCTCAGAGGAAAACTTTTTTTTATTGCTACTCAGAGATGAAAAAAGACGTGGACATTTGCTCGCTCATAAGTCCACCTTGCTAATGTAAAAGTGGACTTCTGCTCTGAGAGCGCATCGGATCATTCAGCAGGCAGAAGTTCACCTGTATGGCAAGCCCTTCTACCTTTTATTTAACTTCACCACACTTACATTCCAGACATCTGAAAACATGCTCTGACTAGATATATTAGTTATTTAAGTTATCTTTAAATATATTTTGATAAGGCAAAAAAACCTATTTGAGACATCCCTAATTACATTCTGACTACAGGTTGTAGAAATAACATCAGATTTATATTAAATTTTAAGGAGGCTCCAGGTAAAGATTTTTTTAATGACATCAATATTCAAGATATCTTAAATATATCTTTAGATAAGAGATAGGCAATATATTCAACTAATGCATTTTTTATTTTAAAAAAGCTGCACTCTTTACTACAGTACTGTTGTAATTTGAGTAGTACAGTGTGAAAATAATGAATAAATGTTTTTTTAAATTAACATTCAGTTTGAAATGGTCATAATTAAATCCATGTTGCCCACCACCATCACGGTTAAAAAAAATAATAAAGGAAACCCTGGAACAGATGAGATTCTTCAAGTTGATGAGTTGCTAAAAGAAACTTTGTGTTGCGTTAACCTGCTTTTGTGTTTCAAGGCTAATGAGGAACAGAATACACTTCTCTATGGCATGAAGTGTACCTTTTTTATACCCCAAGCAAGAGAGAGGGAGATTATTTCCCTGCCTTTTTTCCCCATCACACATGTAGAGGACCCACATATTTTGTGCCAGTCTGGGGATTCAAACCTCATCTAACCTCTGCACCACCAGTTTGCTTTTATACACGTCCAAATTATAAGAAATTCTGAATTGAGATGTTTTAAAGCTATCCGTTAAGTTTTAGTATGAGATAAAATAGTTTGCCTTGTATTTTTCATGATTTTATTTGTATTTTATACAGATGTTATATTGGAAAATAGCCAGCGGTTAAGGTTGATGTTTTAGACACAGCGCATGCTTCTTTTAAAATAAAAAAATCTAAACAGAAAAAAAACATGTCGTTTTACAAACAGCTGCTTTAAAAACAAGTTATTATGGCACAGGCGCAAAGGAATTTGCTCAGTGAAAGGTCACACATGTGCATGTTACATAACTTAAATCTAAACTAAACTTTTTTTTTAATTCAGTGTTGAGCAGTTCTAGTTCAGGGCATTCCCATGAAATGAATTTTTACTTGAAGCTTGTGTTTGTGGAAGATGTATACTTGTCTGTGTCGACCCAGATGGGGGAAAAATAAATAAATAAACTTACGGTGTGTCAAGCTTCTTAAACTCAGGAATGGGCTCCGGCTTCCTGCGAGACATGAACCAATAAACGACCAGGCCGACGATGAGGGAGAAGAGGAAGAGGTCCAGGTTGCTGAAAAGAGGCTCCTCTTCATCTCCTGCGCCGTCTGCGTGAGTGCTGGTCTCAGGGTCCATGTCTGCAGCGTTGACACAATATGAAGGACTGGAGGG